TCAGACGAGGTGCTTTTGCTCGAACGTCGACTACAGAGGTCTGATGCCGAGAAGAATATTCAGCACCTGTCCCAGTTTGCGGGCAACCTTTTGGCTGTCTTATTTAATGTCTACAGTCAAACACTACCTCAGTCTCGTGCATACATTTTGCGATGTATCAACAGCTATCTCAGCATCACGCCGGAAAAGGATTTGGTGGACACTTTTGAGCGAGTGTCGACGATGCTTCAAGATGCACTTCCAAAAGCCGATCAGCCACTTCCCAAAAAGGAACCGCTTCAGCCATCCGCCAGCAAACTCCCTCCGACCTCTCATACATTACTTGATCTTGTTATTGCGCTTTCTGTTCACTTACCAAGATCGACATTTTCCTCGCTCTTCGCCATCTCCTCCGACATCCTAATCAACCCGATAATACTCAAATCCGATCCGCAACTCATCAAGAAGGCGTATAAACTCATTCCGAGGCTGTCAACTTCCCCCATCGGTGCAGAGGCGCTTGCTTCCCGTAACAGCGAACTGCAGGAGTTGATTCTTCGAACTTCAGAAACGACACCCGTTCCTGCCCGCCGAGATCGCATCCTCGCCATTGATACACTCGTCTCCTTCCTCCCTCATACCGACCTTCATTTTGTTCCCAGTATGCTCAGTGAGGTTGTCCTGGCTTGCAAAGACAGCAACGAGAAAGCCCGAACTGCAGGATTTGACCTCCTCATTGCTCTCACGGAAAAGATCTCCAGCCCATCCAATCCTCCGGGAACAATGATCCGCAACCGCCTGGTACCACACATGCCAGATGATTCCCCTGACGCACCAGCAACTCTTGAGGAGGTTTTCACCATGGTCAGTGCGGGGCTGGCAGGTGTGGCTCCGCATATGGTAGCCGCTAGCATCATTGCGCTCAGCCGGCTATTCTTCGAGTTTCATACACGACTAAGTGATAAGACGAAGGAGGAGCTTGTCGATACCGTTTGCATATTTTTGCAGTCGAACAATCGGGAAATTGTGCGCGCGGTGCTTGGATTTGTCAAAGTCATGGTTGTGGTATTGCCTATAGAAATGCTGGAACCCAGAATGCCCAGTATTGTCCCCGGGTTGATGGTGTGGAGCAAAGAAAACAAAGGACGGTTGAGAGCCAAGGTCAAGGGAATATTAGATCGCTGTCTGAGGAGGTTTGATTCAGCCAAGGTCGAAAGCTGGGTCGGGGGCGATGATCGGAAGATGGTTGTCAACATCCGAAAACGGAGAGAGCGAGGACGGCGGAAGAAGAAGGGCGATGGAGAAATGGATGAAGATGAGGAGACCACGACGACGAACAAATATGACAATGAATTCGATGAGGCTGTCTATGGATCGGACGACGACGATTCCGAGATCGCAGGTAGTGACGATGAAGACGACGACAATGCTACCATGTCAGGAGTTTCCTTCAAGAAATCTTCAGTGGATGGGAAGAAGCGAAGAAACGAACAGTATATTCGCCAGGACGAAGAAGATGACGAGCCGCTTGATCTCCTGGATCCACGAAGCATGGCGAGCATCGCCACCAAAAAACTCGGACGACTGAGGGATTTACAACCGGGAACGAAGAAAACGAAAGCAAGATACAATGAGGATGGCAAGCTGATCTTTAACGGCGAGCAAGAGGATGAAGGCGGCGATGTCGATGTTGTCATGTCAGGGTCAGGGAGCCAAGACAACTCGATCAACGCTTATCTCGACGCAGTTTCCGGCGCCGATGCGGTAAGAAGAGGTCAGAAAGGAAGGCTGAAGGTCAAATCCGGGATGCAGAAGAAAACAAAGCAAGAGACTCGCAACCGAGACGATGAGGAAATGGAGCTGGACGTTGAAGAGGCAAGACAGGTTGCCAGACAGATTATGCAGGGCTCCGGATCTCCCAAGTCGCCTGGAGGAAAGGCACAGGACCCAAAACAGCAAAGACGGGGATTGGGTGTTGAGAAAAGGAGAGACCAGTCTCAGAAGCAGCAATTCCGAGGCAGAAGCGGTGTGGGTAGACGAGGTGGTGGAAGAGTGCGATTTGGAGGCAGGGGTGGCGGTAGGCGATGAAAAGCCTCGCTTGATCCACGCCCTCGTTGTGTTTGGTGAGCATTTATGCATGGCATAGAATGGTATGCACCCGAGGACTAATTCAACGGTTGGCCAACGACGAAGACGAGGAGACATGGCTATGATGCCTTGAACGAAAGAGAGACGCTTTTCGTATGCTTCTTGGGAGAAGTTGACTGTGCCCTTCCATCTGGCTCTTCGGTTGCACATGGCGCCTTTTCCCTTTCTTCCTTTTTATCGCCGTGTTCTCTAATGGCCACCAAGGTTATTTCCATTCCAGTAGCCCCTGTTCCCTGTCCAACAAAGAGGACGAGGTTCACTGATTACTCTACAGTTCGATGCTACATACAAGGCGCCAGTCCAAGAATAGCAAAGCGTCCAAATTAAGCATTACATTATTCTTCTCCTAGCAAGTCGAGACCACGCTAGCGAGGAAACTATACCGAATATAGTTCTATCACTACGTCGTTGCTTTGCACACGGTACTGTTCATCTGTATCATCCAGCGCCTTTACAGTGGTGCAATCATTGTGGAGAGCATGGCAGGGCGATGTTAGCAAAGTCCCACTGAGGTAACCATTCTTGGTCATACTGCCTACTCATAACACTGGGGCTCTTGACCCCATGAATCCCCCTAGTTGGCTGGAGTGGAACCAGTAAAACCATGGAAGAGCATTTTCTATACCTCTTGAAAACCGCCTCTCATGACGGCCGACGCCTTGTGTCCCCGACGCTGCGTACATGAAGAATGATTATTATCAATCAGTGAACACACTCTCTTCCTTTCTCAAGCCCTTGCTCCGGAAAGCTGACAAAACAAATCTGGCAGCGGCACCTGGAAGTGGAATGGGCCTCCAAAACAGATCTCTGATCCCACCGGTATTATTAATGCTGGGTCCTGTTTGACCGAAAGGGGATTCAGCACCATCGTTCGGGGGCTATCACGAGATGTGCAAAGAGGTCTGGAGATGTCGGCTTCATGGGTTGGAGATTCGATATATTTAAAGCGGGCAAAGATCCAGCTTCAGACTCATCTACGAACAACAAAAAAAAAAAACACAAAAAGACAACGCTTCTTCGAAAAGAATCCAACTTGAACCACCACAGCAACATGGCTCGTTATATCCTTACCGGCACTAGTGGCCGTCTGGGCTCTCGAGTCCTCCGTCAAATTCTGGAAAAGAAGCTGATCCCGTCAAAGGATCTGATCATCTCGGCGTCAAGCCCGGACCGTGTCCCCGCGATTGCAAAGGAGTACGGTGTCGAGATCCGTCGAGGCGACTACACGGACACGGCGTCCCTCAGGACTTCGTTTGCGGGAGGTGACGTGCTGTTCCTCGTCTCTCACAACGACCCCGGCGTCAAGCGGGTCGAATATCACAAGAACGCGATCGAAACGGCGCGGGCAGTTGGCGTCAAGACAATCATCTACACCAGCATGATGTTCGGCGGCGAGACAGGCTTGGACAGCGTCATCGGGATCCAACAGGGCCATATCCACACCACTAAGTACCTGGAGGAGTGTGGGGTGGAGTACGTGATCCTCCGCGAGGGACTGTACGCGCAGGTTTGGGGGTACTACGCCGGGCCGCCCGTGTCTGGGGTGTTTAAGAAGGGCGACACGCAGCCGCTGGAATGGGTCGTGCCCAGCGACTCATCCATCGCCTGGGTCGACATTGACGACCTCGCCGAGGGCAACGCCCTGATCCTCGCCGACTACACCAGATACATTGGGCAGACGCTGCGGCTGACAGGGCCGCGATCCACGCCCGTGAGCGAGATCGCCAAGCTCGTCGAACAGCGCACAGGCCGCAAGGTAAACCTCCGCTTCGTGGGCAGGGACGAAGCCGTCAGGTATCACAAGGAGCACGGGAGCGTGCCCCGCGAGGCTTTCGGCTGGCTCGAGGACAACTGGGCCGGCTGGTTCGAGGGTCTCGCGAGGGGCGAGGGCGAGGTGGTCGATCCCTTTCTCGGGCAGTTGCTGGGACGGCCGGCCAGGGGCGTCGTGGAAATGGCCGACGAGTTTTTCACGCCCAAGTAGTTGGGTGCCTAAGGAGAACGTGCAGCATGACATGCAGTCGACAGAGCAAAGGCTGAGTGAGAGAGCCCGTCAAGGTGGATAGAATGATTTTTCAACAATACAACCTCTTTTCTCTTCTCCATTGGATGTGGAACTCCTCACACACAAGGCGGGAAGACTGAACCTGAGTCCGTCAAGATGAACCTATGAAATATCTCTATAAATCCAATGACGAAATCTGCATATAGTACTCTGTGGCGTCTTCAAAGTGGGCTGCTTGAAGGAGGCGGCGGGGTTAGTGCAGGAATTCATCGGGATACATAAGCCGTTTTCAACAGCAACTCGGTCACTGATCGAATCGTTCTTTCCTATTCTTCCCTTGCAATTATCCTCCTGCCCGGCATCGACTATTGAGGACACACAGTAAGACCTTCAATCTCGACCTTACTCTCTGTACATGGGGTTTCGCCAGCTTCGCCGCCTGACGAGCAAAATAGGGCAAGGCACTCGCGACGCCCTCGCTTAGGTGGCGTACATATCCATGTTCCCCTCCAATGGCCTCCTGCCAACACAGCCGTTGCCTCGTTCATCATGCCTTTGACTGGGGTTTGCCATGCCCACTCCCCTCTCCCCAAGGGCGCCTTGCAAAAGTACGGTCCCAAAGTGCAGAAGCAGGTCGTGGGGAGGATTTCCGTAATCTAAAGCTTTTGTCTGAATACCCACGGGAAACGTACACTGTTGAAAAAGACTGTTAATTGAAAATCCTAGGGACGGGGGTCGGTCTCCAGAGCTTCCATTTGCAGAGCTTCTACCTGAACCCAAGTCTTCACACGACAAGGCATCAATGGAAGCATCTGGGGAAATATACCCGGGCGCCGGCAGCGGTTCTGGATCCTGTCGCTCTTGTGCAAGGATGGTTGAAAATCGCAACTACAGGCCCAGCTATACTCACATCCACAAATCTGGACAGCAGGAATGCAACCGCTGCTGGATCATCGCACGAGCCGTGCAAACCATTTTCGAGGAGCATAAGCTGCTCGAGTCTGACAAATCGATCAGGAGCCTATCCCTCGAGAGATTTGGCGACGACGTCGACGAGATCTCGTGCGGCTGGAAAAGAGGAAGTTTCAAGGTCCAGATCTTTGTGGAAGACTCGGCCGCTGCCACTGTCGCTCGGCACTGTGCATGGCTAGGTGTCAGGCGCAATATTACGCTGGAACGAGACGCTTGTTTACAGTTTACATCCGACGCTTTGCGGACCTGTGTGCGTGAACATTGGAGGTGCAAACCAAGCTTGGGGTACATACCGAAGCGCCTTGTCGACGTGGGCATCGAGGGGACCGAAACCGTCAAAGTCGTTGACGACGCTCGCTCCAGTGTCTGCAAAGGAACTCCTATACAGCCTTGAGCTATTGCTGGGGCCCTCAGTCGGAGACCAAAGGCGCAATCTTGACCATGACAGCGCACAACCTGAAGGAGATGTCTGAGGGGATTCCCGTCGATAGAAAGTTGCCCGCAATGTTCTGGGACGCCATCAAAACCACTCGATCTCTTGGGATCCGATATCTATGGATCGATGCACTGTGTATTGCTCAAGGAGACAAAGAAGAGTGGCAGACCGAGTCTCTGGCGATGCGACAGATCTATGCTGGGGCGTATGTTGCCATTTCGGCAGATGCAGCATCCACCTGCGACAAGTCGTTCCTCGCTATGCCCGACAGATTATGGAGGTGAGGTATCGAGATCGGCTCACGTCGATTCGGCACCAAGATCTATGCGAGATTGCTCGATGACGGGGATCCCAATCGGGGCGGACCTATAACTGGCACCTCGTCCGAAGAGGAGGAATACAAGCTGCATTCTCGAGGCTGGACGTTGCAAGAGCTTCTGCTCAGCCCTAGACTGGTCTATTTCCGACGCGACCAGGTTTATTTCAGTTGTGCAGAGGGAAAGCTGTCAAGGGAAGACGGCGAGAGCCCGGCGGGGGTGAGCCGTCACGTCAGCCTCTTGAGGTTGGACGGAGTGCGCCGGACGTGGTTGCAGGAAGCGTCATGGCCACAAAACACCCCAAGGCCTCCCTGCGCCGCCTCGAATGACCAGCTTCTGGCCCTCTGGAAGCGCCTCTTGGTCCAATACACCACCCGAAAGCTCTCCCAACCAGACGATACGCTCCCGGCCATCTCTGGTCTGGCATCCCAGCTCAAACAGAAATTACCACCCGCACTATGTCTATTGCGCCGGTCTTTGGAGGGAGGATTTTGTGAGGGGATTGTGCTGGAGTCACGACTACGACTATTACGACGATGACGACGCGGTTAGGACGCGGATTGCGCCCAAGAATTCTCCCTCCTGGTCGTGGGTGTCCTGTCCTGGTCGGGTGGCGCACTCGTGGGACACAAGAGGTCAACCTCTGACTGAATTGATATCTCTGAATCGTCTTACGGAGGGGGACGACCTCAGCCACAACAACGCACCAATTCACGAGACAATGCAGGCTCTCGACATTTCATCTCAAGACCAGGAATTTGGCCACATTGGCTGTGTGGAGGCTACGATAGAAGGCCCAGTGCGCGAGGCTGAGCTTCGAGGCGTGAACGGTTCGAAGCAGTACATAGAGAGCCTCGCCAACTACCCCCTTTGGCTCCAGATGGATCACTGGGCAGACCCAGGCGGCTGGCTGGGAAGCGCAAGGAAGGAGGCTCGGGGTGTTTGGAATCGTCACGGTGGTAAGGTCTTCCTCGTCGCCCTGATTCGAGATTGGCGAGAGATCATGCACCTTGTCTTGGTCAGGTCTGCTACAACGCCCGACAGATACGTGAGGATCGGAATCTGTGAAGGCAGGGTTGAGACCCAGAGACCAGATTTGGACAGGAACGCACTAGCAGACAAGTGTCTGGCGAGTTTTGAGCAGAGACGCGTTGTACTCATTTGAGTCTCGGTCGCCTTGGAAGCAGCACTGAGGTGCATCTTGCACATTGCTGCGGGTATCAAGATCCTCTGCGGTATATCTAATGAGTGGCTCTGGAATCATCATCACTTCATCGAAACGTCGGGAGGTTGGATTGAATTCCTGAATACGAGACATGTAAATCTCAAGAAGCTTCATCGATTCTATACCAAAAATTCCGGGTGATAAGTTGGAGGGAAAAAAGGGGTTGAAGAGGAGCCGGCGCTACATTTATCCGTCACTGCCACGAAACCCAAAATCTAAGACGCACGTGATCATATTCCGACTTCAACCCAATTTGCTCTACCTCAATACCGAAGAGCCCATCTCTTCGCAGGCAATACAAGAAAATCCATCAAGCGCCATTTATATAGTAACTTGACTTGGAGACCGGTCACTTGCACTACGCAACAATGTGCCGCATTTGCGGACGCACGATCAAATGCATCTTTGACTCGATGCCCTCAAGGGTGCACTCATCCGTGCCGAAACCGTGAGCCTCTTTCTTCAATTAGCAGAACTCGCGGAGAAAACCCCGGTGACTGACTTTCGCATTGGGAGTAGCAGCAGATCCCTGCTCCGGCCTCACCAGACAAGATCTCACCATGTCTCATCGCGGACCCTCGTGCAGAGCGCCCTGAACATACCGTCCAAGCCTGTGGCCGCACCGCCCACATTTCTCCTGCCGTTCCGCGCAAAGCTTCACCAGACCAGGACGCGGCCGTCCACGACGACGCCGATATCCCAATTCCAGAACACTCAGCCTGAGATCCCCCCGAGTTATCTGTCCGCTACAGCTGACCAGACATCCTCGTCACCTTCCGCCACCGCGACCACCACGTCGGTATTCGCTCCGCGGGCGACCACACAATCTCTCGACCAGCCCCTCGTCCTCTCCCGGTCCCTGCAAACCCTTCTCCCCAAGCTCCACGTCCAAAAACCGCACTACATCGTCACCCACATCCACCGGTTTCCGTACCTCCTCACGGAGGGCGACACACTCCGCCTGCCGTTCCACATGAAGGGCGTGTCGCCCGGCGACGTCCTGCGGTTCAACCGCGCCAGCATCCTCGGGTCGCGGGACTACACGCTCAAAGCCGGCACCGCGGCCACCGAGTCCTACGACAAGCGCCGCACAGGCGAGCCCAACTACCTCGACGAGAGGCTGTTCGAGTGCCGGGTCCGCGTCATGGGCATCGAGACCCAGCCCATGACCCTCAAGGAGAAGAAGAAGCGGCGCAACCGGCACCGCAAGATCGTGCGTAGTAAGCACAAGTACACGCTGTGTCGGGTCATGCAGGTCCGCGTCAAGGCTCTGGACGAATTGATCCAGGGAGAAAAGGGGATGGTGCTTCTCGAGGGCCAGGAGAATGAGAACGGGAACGACAATGTCCACGCGCAGTAGTACTCGATTCTCACTCGGGGGGGTTTCGATACGCGAGGCCCGCTTGTACGAGGTACTTTGTAGGGAATATTTCGTGGTGCGAGTCAGGGAACCGGACACCGTGGAGAGAGATCATCTGTCTAGCGGAACAGTCCAGCTTTAAGTCACTACTCGTGTTATGCCACTGAAATACAATGTTGGCACAAGGACACAAACGGCTCACTCAAATGTACAGAATATACAATATTGGTTTTTTTGTCGTGCCAAATATCCGCCAAAGGAAAAACTGCTTTGCTTGCTTACTTGCTTTGCTTTGCTTTCCTTGCTTTGCTAGCCTAGGCACTTACATAGGTAGTAGGTAGGACCAAAGGACCAGATTATTCGATATACATCCGCTCCTAAACTCCCAAAACACCCAATGTTATTGGAAACGCCCCTCTTTCCCCGTCCCCCCCGTGCGTGCGTGCGTGCGCCCAAACATTGTGGAATGATTCATGGGCAAACAGAAAAAAAAAGGAAAAATAACCGAGCAGGAAAGGAATTTCCCTCCCCTTTTCCCCATTTCGTTCATTACTTTTCATTCAATCTGCCTGCCTGCCTGCCTGCCTGCTTCCAGTCATGGGAGAAAGATCGCTTCGTTCGTAACGGTCGGGGCTGTCGTGTATACACGTCACGCGTCCATCATCAAGCCCAGGAGCCCAGCAACCCTGCAACCCAGTAACCCGGTAACCTCCCCGGCTAAACAACTCGTCAAACGCATCAAACCAAAGGTATTACTTGTAGAATTGGGCAGGGATGTTGGAATGTTGGAGCTGCAAATTCCTTCATATGTCTCACAAGAAGATGAGCCAAACACCCAGAGGTGTAGGAGTTGGAGGGCTATGATCAAACGCAGTGCTGATAAGGCTGGATGTCGTTCTGTCTCATTTTTACCTCACCTCGAAGGAAGGGAAGGTCATGCGGTCGCGGAGGTTGACTTTGAATTCGAAGATTCCTTCTTCAGAACCCGCGTACCTGTATCCCACTGGGTCAGCACAAGCCTTGCCTTTCTGTCTCGCACAGGGAAAACGGGCCCTCCCTTTCCCAACTGCTCTTGAATAGGTGACCAGACTTACAGAAATTGCCCATCCGGACTAAACCCGATTCCCGTTGTCCCTAGCTCGATCAGACCTGCTGCTCCTGTGGCCGCTGCAGACCTTCCATGAGTACCCGTAACGCGTTCCAACGCAGATCCATTGGCGGGAGGCAACCAATTTCCATTGGCATCCACTGATCGGTTTCCAGTCACGCCGCTCAAGAACAGGATACGTGCCATGCGCATGTCTGCATCTGGAACGCGACCAGTACGTTGTGCCTCTCTCCCGCTGTTAGAACTAAGTCGCTGAGGTGACGGGTCTGCCGTTGTGGTCACAGGGCCTCGTCGTACATTGGTATTGGCTGTCGCGGGACGGTTGATGAGTTGGGGTACTATCTGATAACTTCGCGCAGCTCTTTCGGTGGTCCATGTCCCGACGGATGTGGATGAAGCCTCGGCGGCACCAAGGAAGCTTCTCACGGATTCACTCTGATTTTCAAGCTGATTTCCTAGGCTGCCGCGCCGCATGGCGGTTTCGAGAGCCCGAGTATCGACTGCGGCCTGAGCTACCCGTGACTCTGCTCGGCGTACCTGTCGTTGGAGGTTCTCGACGTGAGCTAGTCTCTGACGGCTGGATTCGGAATAATCTGTGAGCACGTTTGGGACGCTGTCTGACTGACCGGACGATCTAAGATTCGTGGTGGGTAGTGTTGAAGTCCGGGCCGAGCTCGAATTCGGAGGGTCGAGAGAGTTCACATCATCGCCCGAAGCGCCGTCCAAGATCCGCTCGCGCTCAGTTTGCAGTCTTCTGAAATACTCTACACCAACTCTCAATTCACTCTGCAGCTCCCGCGACCGTGATTGTATGTACTGTTCCTCATGTGTCAGCTGTGCTTGGACAATGCGTTCCAACGAGGCTGCAACCCTGGCGTTTGACTCCCTTGCTGCTGTCCGAAGATTGTCAAATTCGTCCGGGTTGTCGGCGAGGAGACGCTGTTGGATGTCAAGCTGCCTGCGAAGTAACAGTGACAATTGCCTCTCATCGGCTAGTTGACGCTCAAGCTGGATACCGAGTCGCCGTTCAGCTTCCAACGCAGCCTCGACCCGAGCAAGAAGTGTTGAACTGCGATTACCCTGATCCGATACACGAGCCGTCTCAAGTGCTGATTGAATGACGTACCAGGGGTCGTTTTGTGGAATGCTGGAGGGCCCGGATGTTGAATTCGAAGTATTCGTCGTTTCGGCAGGCGGGCCTTCATCATCGTCCATCCGAGCTGGAGATGCAGATAGCCTTACACGATGGATGGAGTTGAGATCGAGAAATCGACTTCCAGTCGGCTCTGAGAGAACGATAGAGGTTCTCCTCCTTGGTCGGGGAGAGCGAGGAGCGACAGACCGGCCAGCGGCACCAGGAGATTGAGGGGTAGCGTCACTCGAAATACTGCTGGCCATCCAGCCCGGGGAAGAGCTAGAGAAGTCAATACTGTATACGCGACTGCGAGGCTGTTCCGAAGGGTCCAATGTGGTATCGACCTCCACGTGCTCCATTGTAGTATCAAGCGCCTCAACAACCGATCTCTCTCGTGCGTCTAGGTCAAACCCCCCATAATTGATCAAATCGCGGCGATTGTGCCTCTGAGCAGTCTCATTCAGAAGAACGTTAGCACGTATCTCGTTGTCCAAGTCTCTGCGAGACAGGCCACTCATCGCTCTTAGCCGGATGAGACGTTGCTGCAACAACCGTTCCTTGTGCGTTATGTTACGAAACGCGACCGGAGTTCCATCTTCGAGCTTGACTTCCTCTGTTGTCTGACGATCGAGATCCAATATTTGCCGTCGTACGCAGGACTGTCTCACATCCGCGACTCCTATTCTCCCGTGGTCTTCAGCCCAGACGAGGAGGTCCCACGGTGCGGGAGAGAAGGTCATAGATCTGACGCATCCAAACAAAGCTGGTCGAGACGATCTAAAGCTGCATATTATCGAGGATTCGCTGGGGTCACAGCTGCTCAGAAGATGTCGCATGTCGAATATCGAGATCGACCCACCTTGGGAGGACGCCGCGCAAAGAGATCCAGAAGGCGAAAAGGTCACCGCAAAGCCGTGGTCGTCATAAACGGGATCCCCAATTGGCACGACAGGCTTTGCAAACAGCTGCCAGCAATACTTGGCGTATTTACCGGAAGAACCGTCGATGATGTCCCGGTCTTCCTCGAGGTGTCGTCGATAGAAGTATACACGGTCGGAATCTCCCACTGCTGCAAGGATCGTGGAGTCGGGAGACAGGGCTGCGAAATTTATTGGAGCGGGATGCCGTAGAGTTGTCAGCACTTGTCGTTGAGCCAGAGAGTAGATCTTGACGGTCTTGTCGTTGTTGCTGATCAGGACCACGGGCTCGTCGGGAGTCTTGCCGTGGTTCAAGAACGTGTGAATGCTCATGGCATTTACGATTTCTCCTCCCAATAAATCAATATTCATGTCATGACCAAAGCATGTCGGCCGATCGTGTTCGTCCTTCTGGATCTTGATGAAGGCGCAGTCGCCATTGTGTTCTCCTCCCACACAGACCCAGCCCAAATCAGCAGCGAGACATCGGGACTCGAAGGGTATTGTTGCAATCAATGAGTTCTGTTGGGTGGCGAGATCGAGGACAAACACGTCCTTACAAGACACATAGTAGATGAGGTCTTTTTCCGACGAACTGATGAAATGACGCAGTTGGTGGTGGGACACCGTGATCTTTGTAGGGTAGAACTTAGAGTGAGTAGCAAGTGACTTTGAAGGAGTAAGCCATAGTTCGCGATTGGGTACGGTCATTTCGCAACGGACGATGAGGGACCTAGGGGAAGAGACACATCGCTCGGAGAGGTAGTAGGCCGGATTGAGATAATCAGGGCGGAGAGTGGTGGTAAGCAGGCAAAGCTAAGAAGTTCGAGAGACCAAGGCACGGAGCAGCGACTTTTAGGGGTGGTTGAACGAGAACCCTGGAAAAATGAAATCGTTTATGGATGTATTGACCCCAGCTTGAGTGTGATTAATCGCATCGCTCTAAACGGAGAGGAGGGCTGCTCGGGTTTGCTAGACCGTGACGTCGATTGGACGAGGCTGTCTCCGCGAGGCTGAAGACAAATTATTTCAATTCGGCATGTTTGTCGAGCCCCATCGGCCCATCTCGTCTGGCTGAATTATTTCTGAGAGTTTCTGCGGTGCCAAGCCTCGCGCGAGCTTGCGGCGAAGGGGAAAGAGAGATTTTTTCTCCATCCGTTATTTGTCCTCGTACATATTGCCTCTACTTTGCATCCTGAGCTCATCTATCCTGTCCCATCCCATCCTCTACGTCTCTAGATTCATCCCCGGTTTCCAGGACTTTGCCCATCTCCTGCTCTTCTCCGTTGCTTCTCTGTTGTGTTCTTATACCGAGATCATCATGATCGCGTCAAGGATGTCCAGAGCTGTAAGTCCGAATGCTACTGCTTCATCATGGAATTATCCTCTAACCAATCTACCCAGCTTCCTCGCTCTGCCCCCTTCTCCCGCCTCTCCCAGATTCGAGCCCCTCGATCGTCGATAATTTCACGGTATGCCTCTACCGACGCTCCCGAATCGTCGGAAAAAGTCAAAGGCCAAGTCATTGGTATTGATTTGGGAACAACAAACTCGGCCGTCGCGGTCATGGAAGGCAAACAACCAAGAATAATAGAAAACGCCGAGGGCACCCGAACAACACCCTCTGTTGTGGCATTCACTGAGAGTGGTGAGCGTCTCGTCGGTGTTGCAGCCAAGAGACAAGCTGTCGTCAACCCTGAAAACACACTTTTCGCGACCAAGCGACTTATCGGTCGGAAGTTCTCAGACCCTGAAGTCCAGCGGGATATCAAGGAAGTCCCCTACAAGATTGTCCAACACACCAATGGCGACGCCTGGCTTGAAGCTCGCGGCGAGAAATACTCGCCGTCGCAGATTGGAGGTATGGTCCTGGCCAAGATGAAGGAGACTGCCGAAGCATACCTAGGCAAGCCCGTCAAGAATGCCGTCGTCACTGTTCCTGCCTACTTCAACGATATGCAGCGTCAAGCCACAAAAGATGCGGGGCAAATTTCCGGGTTGAATGTTCTTCGTGTTGTCAATGAGCCTACCGCAGCTGCGCTCGCGTATGGCCTCGAGAAGGAAGATGATCGCATCATCGCTGTCTACGATCTAGGTGGTGGCACCTTTGATATTTCTATCCTCGAGATCCAGAAGGGCGTTTTTGAGGTCAAGTCAACCAACGGTGACACCCACTTGGGAGGCGAAGATTTCGACATTACCCTCGTCCGCCACCTCGTCCAACAATTCAAGAAGGAGTCGGGTATCGATCTATCCAACGATCGCATGGCCATTCAACGTATTCGTGAAGCTGCCGAGAAGGCCAAGATCGAGCTGTCTTCTTCCATTCAGACAGACATCAACTTACCTTTCATTACTGCTGACGCATCTGGTCCCAAGCACATCAACATCAAGATGACCCGAGCTCAGCTCGAGCAGATGGTTGACCCACTTATTGCGAAGACCATTGAACCTGTCCGCAAGGCTCTGAAAGACGCCAACCTGCAAGCGAAGGACATCCAAGAAATCATTCTCGTTGGTGGTATGACACGTATGCCCAAGGTCACTGAATCTGTCAAGAGCATTTTCGGACGTGATCCGGCTAAATCTGTCAACCCTGATGAAGCTGTCGCCATTGGTGCTGCAATTCAGGGAGCTGTGCTCGCTGGTGAGGTTATGGATGTCCTCCTGCTGGACGTCACCCCCCTCTCTCTGGGTATCGAGACTCTTGGTGGCGTCTTCACACGTTTGATCAACCGTAACACCACCATCCCTACGAAGAAGTCACAGATCTTCTCGACTGCTGCCGATTTCCAGACGGCTGTGGAGATCAAGGTGTACCAGGGCGAGCGTGAGCTTGTCCGGGATAACAAGCTGTTGGGCAACTTCCAGTTGGTTGGTATCCCCCCGGCACACCGCGGCGTTCCTCAGATCGAAGTCACCTTCGATATTGATGCCGACTCGATCGTCCATGTCCACGCCAAGGACAAGTCGACCGGCAAGGATCAGTCCATTACCATCGCCTCGGGCTCCGGTCTTTCCGACGCTGAGATCCAGAACATGGTGGATGACGCCGAGAAATACGGGGCGCAAGACAAGGAGCGCAAGGCTGCGATCGAGGCCGCCAACCGAGCTGATAGTGTCCTCAATGACACGGACAAGGCATTGAAGGAGTTTGAAGACAAGCTTGACAAGTCCGAAGCCGACACGATCAAGGAGAAGATTGCCTCTCTCCGTGAGTACGTTGCAAAGAACCAGACGGGTGAGGGCACCGCCACGGCTGAGGAGATGAAGGCCAAGATCGACGAACTCCAGACTGCAGCCCTTAGCTTGTTTGACAAGATGCACAAGGCACGCGAGGAGTCACAACAGACGCCGCCGGGTGGGGATGCCGGCGCACAGCAGGGCTCGTCCAGCGGCGAACAGAAGCCGTGAAAGATGGAGTGAAGATGGATATGGTGGGTCCCCAAAAGCAACTTGTATTTTAATGATATCCCTGTACTCGACTTCATTTTGTTACGCCGGATATTGGCCGATCTCTTGTTCGACGTTCTTGCCATCATCATCGCGGGAGCAGAGTTCTCAACATGTATTAGTTTTGCCCTTTGGGAAGGGGACGAACGGCTTGCTGACGAGGACATTACTACTACTGCTGCGGCATGACCTTCCATGCACGAGTGTTGGAAGGGAGCATGGATGGAGTGTTCGGAATTTTATTACATGCTTTGCTGGCCTGAGGGAATGACTGCAGGAGCGGGACATACCGGGAGGCCGGGGGGGTTTTGGTCTTTGTTGAGGCGAAAGGGTTGAAGATGGATGTACCTATTTATTGTAGAGAGACGGGACGGGGGGGCATGATGGGCATGATACGGAGGCCCCTTAGCCTTTTTCAGAGCGGTGAGGGTGGCCGAGCACATACATAGCGTGTGTAATGCCTTTGTGTGAAAATAGAAAAACAAAATCTCCTCTCGTACTACCGAGTATTATTTCTATTGCTGCCGTGGCGGATTGATTACGGGACTCGACGACGAGCAAGTGATAATAAAACGAAAGATGACAATTCCTACGGCCGCACTCTCTCATCGGACAATGCGGCCTGTGGGGGCGGCGAAAGAAATCCCATGGCGAATGACTTAAAGAGGGAATTGGTGGGTTGACTCTACTCGTTTAAGAGAGAGCATGTGGTAACTCGGAAGACTTGGGTGTATGTAGGTATAGCATAAGCAAGACTGCCAATCACCGCGGAACGAGGCGCCCCTCCTCCTTCTTCTCCTCCTTCGACTTGCGGGTCTGTGTGTGTGTATGTACCGGCGCATGTATACCGAGTACCTTTACTCGTTTCGGGTGTATATGACCAGATATCCACGAGTAGGGTGTAGGGTAGGCACGCGATGGATCATCCAGGGATGGGACGTACGGGGAGACTGTCTGACTCGAGGCCCTTTTTGTGGGGATAAAAGCTGACGACACATCATACGCCGCGAAAGGCCCCACGGAGCGAACGATCCTACGAGCCCTGGCAGGGTACACGAGTAGGATTTTTTTATAGGAAAAAAAGGGGAAATAACCGGGGAGAAGGGGGTGTGGCGGCGGCTGATGGCGACGGCGACGGCCACGGGGGTCGGCACGCACATTTTAACTGAGTATTTTCTTCCAAAGTCGTAAATGTGGGATGGTGAAGTGGTAACGTGGTGATGAGAAATGGCGAGACGAGACGAAACAAGTTCAGAAAGCGGCCGAAGCTGGTGATCCTCATAGAGGGATTTTGGGGAATTGAGATACGATACGCAGTCACAAAAGTTTCTTTGATACATTGACAAGTCGGCCGACTAAAAGTGGGTTAAACGAAACGATATGAGATGAAACGTGATCAGAGTGGGGAAAGGGGAGGAAGGAAGGAGCACGGAACGGAGTATACGGCGCATCTTGAACCATATATTGTTACGAGGAGAGGCGAGGAGCCCTCGGTGAGCCCACATAATAATAATATTGGTTGTGAAAACATACGCACGAGGGATTGTGGAGAGGGGAGACAGAGAACAGAGTACGAGGTCCGATATGGTTGCGTGGTCGCGTTGCGTGGTGCGTGGCTAGCTGTGTTTCGGCTTGTCAACTTACAAATGCCGTGATGTGATTTGCCCGATAGCAGATTCCCTGCGTATTATCATCAGCCATATCAGCAACAGGGAGATTATATCTGGCGACAAAAACAGAAATTAGCGGCCCCCCTCGTATTCCCAGGGGATGATGACGGAGGGAGCAAGTGCCACAAGAGCCTGCCTAGCTGCCTTGTCCCTCCTGAGGTCGTAGGCGGGTGGTGTGGTGGTATACGCGATGGGTATCAAGCGTTGAACTGGCTACTTCCATGTTCTCTCTCTTCAATGTGATAGGAATAGTAATGAGGCGAGTTCACGTAAACACTAGATAAGTGACTAGTTAGCTGCCAAGTACCTGTCTAAGGATGAAGGATGGATACTATGTCAAAGGCTGATTCGGGTTATAGTCATTAGATACCTGACTACCTAGTACGGGAGGTATTACACATTACAGGGGTAGGGGGATCCCTTGGAAAAAAGTTCTAGGCATGGATCCCTAGGTCTCTGGGTACGAACCTGGACTCCCAAGTGCCTCTATGAGTGTGTAGGTATTACCTGGAGTAGCTTAGAATGGGTCGAGGTTAGGCGTCTCTCTTCACTCATAGTCTAGTTCTAGGTAGGTAGATATCCCTCTTG